TGTTTGAAAAATAGGAGATAAATATATTTATCAAAGATTTGGCGATTCACACAATTATAAAAACATCAATATATAATTATCAATATTTTAACAAATTAAATAGTTAAAACCATAAAAAGTAACACGATATTTTATAATATACCTTTCGCTTTCTAGATTTAGTAAGTGTTGCTAGTAGAATACAAAAGAAAGAACAAAAGAGATGGCTTTTGTCAACACAACAATAACACAAATGTTTGAAGTTTGAACTTCTCTTGGTATTTATTTCTCCCTTTTATTTCGGTAGGACCAAGATGGTTGTATTCATTTCAATGCAAAGTTTGTTTATAATTTTGTTTATTTGTTTGTTTTTAACGATAAATCTAACCCGCTCCTAAATTACTTATCTAATTCATCTATGTCTTAGAACTTAAACACTCAACCTTATACCTTTGGTATGTTAGAAACCCTTTTGTAATGGAAAGAAATGTTTGCCACCTCGTTTTTCACATTGTTAATACCACTCGTTACTTTTGTTGTTAAATTTAAGATGATTTTTTGTATATTGTGCAATTCTATTAAAACATAAATAGTTATGTATGACACAAAATTATTATAGATGAATTGGATCAATTTTTGTATTGTCAAAATCTGTTACATAACTATGAGTACAACACATGACCATAAAATATGTTCGACCGGTTGAAAATAGACAACAAAAAAAAACATCTTTAGGTTGTGTAAAATAGAAATCCATATATGTATTATAACTTATATATAACCAGTGATATCATAAATCATATGATATTTATCTTTTTCTAGATAAATCAAACTATTTGCTTTTTACTAAATAACTTTAAAAAAATATTTTTTACAATATCATTTTACTTGTTAGGGTTGATGTTGATTTTTGTTCTTTTTTGAAAGATAATGTATGATTAAAGTTTGTAGAAAACAACTTAACATGTCGATTGTTATTATATATTTGGGAAAATGACACATTCGCTCAATAATGTTTTCGAATTTGCCGAATCAATTCCTTAATTTATTTGCAGGTTTTATAAGAAAATAAAATTGTTTTTGTCGGTTCTAATTGGTCCTTTTTGAATAAATAAAGCGGTAAGTCGGCGACTTTTTTTGCCTCATCATCTATGACGCTGATTAGGCGTCCATGTATACTTTTTTTTTAAATGTATGGACATGTCTTGAATTGTATAGAGTAGGCTTATCATCTTGACAACCCAATTTGTTTATCCAAAATCTAAGTTCTATTTCGCCTACTTCTCATTCTCAGAGCCGAATCCACCTTCTCCTCTAGCCTTGTTCCTTCTCGATTCCCACATGATCCTCCTCGGGGTACTTAAACAATTATTAAATATGTTGTCCATTTCCGTGTAGACAAATGGCAGCTCTCTCGTGCCACCGCCGATTCTTCCAGGTAATATCTATATTGGTAATCTAATTGTCGATGATTATTCTTCTGTTTGGTTTGAGCCTTCTAGGTTTGGAAAATTAGTTGAACCTGTTGGGAGTTCGTGGAGGCACACCAGACAGGAGTTGCGAAGAGTTAGTCATGGGAGAACGCAATCGGGATGGTAGATGTGATTACATGGCATCTCATGAGCTTCAACTTCGAGAAGGAACGCGTCTTTGCAGACAACACAATGCAATTCGTTGGTAAGTTGTGAATCTAAGATCCCGATTGTCGTCATTGATTCAACAACCACTTACAATATCGGTGGTCTGTGGATGTATTGCCCTACCTAATCCGTTTATCTTAATCTACTATAACTGATCAAATAACCGGTCAAACCCTGACCTCATCGGAAACTCCGACATCGTTGGTGGCAAAGGTTGTAAACCAAAACCTACTCCATCATCATAATACAACTCAAAACCTCTCTCTTAACTCTCTGAATTCTTAATATCGCCTCTATCGGCACCACAAAGAACAATAACCAGATTAAACGACGTATTATCCCTAATGTTTCGATGGCCTTCACGTCGGAGATCTGACTAATCATTACTTCCAAGCATGTACATCATGACTTGAGGAAAATGCCATCGAGATTCTGACAGTGAAGGCGTGTGAAAATCCACCGCTTCATTGAATTCTCCCTCGCAATAAGGACATACAACGACATCTTCAGCCACAACAGCTGCTCTAACGATCTGTGTGCATCTATAACACTAATACAATGACTTCCTTGATATGTTCATACATACAAAATTTAATCAAAATTTATATGTCAAATACCCTTATTACCATCTTAATAAACCTTAGGTCCAAGTGGACAACCACATGTCGGCCACATCATGTTGATTGGGCAATCACATATTCTCCAACTAATTGTATGTCATAATGAACATATTGCCGGTTAAAAGAACTAAATAAATATGTCAACGTCCACTTTATTTCCTCATAAAGTGTGCAAATAAGTTAAATGACTGATTCAACAAATTCAAAAAATATTTTTGGGCTAACGTGTCGTTTTCCCTATATATTTCCTACAAATCTTGGATTAAGTTGTTTAAAATATTTTATAATTAGATTGAGTAAAGTTATATTTCTAAATCATATAAAAAGTAATGTCTTATGGTTTGATTAAAATTACATGTTTTGTTTAATTTTTAAAAAGTTGATAAGTTACGTCCTTATGGTTTCAAAAAATTACATTGGTAGTCCATTTTAGCTAACACCGATCATGAACTATCAAATTAGTGTAACTTAACAAATTTAACTTTTCTTTTTTCTATTTTTCTATTTTGTTACAATATAAAGAGACACTCACACCCACCAACACCACACAAAACTATCGTGCACCACCGGAGATACAAATAATGAAGTGTGGAGGTGCTCGCCTGAGACTCAAAATGTAAGATGAGACGACGGGAGGTGTTTAGGCACAAGTTGAGAAATGAACGTTTGTTTTTATAATTTAATTAGCGATGCTAGCCACAAGTATTAGATGTATATTTTTTGAAACAAAAAGAATATATTTTCAAAAGTTTGACTAAAACTGAGAATCTAACCAAACCACGTTAACCATTCTATAATTTAATCTAAAAATTATAACTTTTATTTTTATGAATAATTTAATTAGTATATTTAATTATGCAAGTTTTTTTCCTTTGATAATTTAAATCACAATTGAAAAATGTGTTTGAGCGATTGCAAGATTACATGTTCTGTTATTTGTTTCTCTGTAAGAGTATTGTTATACTCATATTTCGCCTATTTTTATTTTTTTAATTCATAGCTTTTAGTTCTAAAACAAAAATAAATATAAGATTAGTAATAATTAAAGTTTTTCAAGTTCTAAAAAGCTCGTCATGAATTTCCCACGACGCGCTATGGTTACAAGATTTACATTTGTCGCGTTTAAGTGATGCTTTACAAACGATATGATTCGCCACGACTTTTAAATGTTTGAGGGTTAACATTGTCACCAAGTCATGTCCAATGTTATTTGTAGCCTTGAAGTTTTCATTATTATTAAACAAAAATTTAATATTTCATAATAAAAAAATAAAAAAATTACTTCACTCCTAATTTAAAACACATAACCTAAAATAAAAAACATACAACAGTCTTCGTCGTAGTCGAATAGTTGGTTTCTGTAAATATATTGCACAATGGTACTTATTTGCCGATGATTAACTTGGTTGGATATCAATTTCTTTCTTTTTGTTAGAATATCTTGTACTAATATGAATTTAAAAAAGTCCAACACCATTGGATTTGTACACATGGTACATAACGTGGATGATGAAACATGTGTCAGAAGTCAGAACATCATTTTATTTATGGCTTTCACTTCAGGTTACAAGCTGCCTACATTGGTAAAAAATACATATATACATATAAAATTATAAATTGATAGTTATTGTAAGTACAAAAAGAATAAAAGCGTGATAGATAAAAACATTAATTTGCTAATTTACTAACATGGTAAAGTATCGTTCGTATAAATACATACATACGAGATGACTACTAATAGAATAGACGAGATACAACTCCTTTCCATAACCAATATTCTATCCATGAAAAGGTACGCTATAATAAAATTAATAAAAAAAACCCCAACCATTCAATACAAGCGAATTACTGAACAATAATGTTTAGAAACATGCCAAAAATAATTGATGATTCGGTATACTTAACATTATATATTTACATTCCACTTTTTAAAAATTTCAGAACAACTTTTACGCCCTTTCATTGCATGGGATTCGTTTGGTATACAAAAACAAACGCTAGACATGATCAAAAGATCAAAAATACCATTAACATATGAATTTCTTTCTTTTCATGTTCATTTTTAAATGTCAAAAGTATTATGTTGTAATGTTGACGTTGATTTTATATCTCTTAAGATTTTTGTCTTCAAGGGCATTTGTGTAATTTACTTTCGATAAATATATTGTACTTAAGATGATAAGATTTGCCTACTAGCTCTTATCAGGCACTTTTTGTCAACTAGCAAAACTTTGCATTATTTCGTCAAAAGACAACCAAACACAAAAACAAGCCACGTATACACCAAAACTACCAAAGGCAAGAATAATCCATCACATGGAAAACCTGTCTGCAAATCTTTGCATACATGAAAAAAAATGACAAATTGCATTCAAGCATCCATATTTCCAGCTCAAATGTCACATATTAAATTACCATTTTGTCCTTCAAAATAGGATATGACTGTCGAGGGTTAGGTTGGGAAATGACAAAATGGCATTGACCATAACGAGTTGACTCTCAACTTCTCAATAGTGTATATGTATATATGTATATTAACTTCTTACCCATAAAATTGAAAAGTAACAAATGATATGTTCCAAGTTGATACACTTCAAGATTCTTGATCCAAAAGGTAAGAACTTTAACAAAGATACACTTGAATTTGACAAAAAAAAAAGGATCTTGTGGGTATTTTAAAACTCACCCAAAATATTTCAAAAGCATTTTAAGATTCTTGATCCAAAATGTATGAAGTTGGATCAAGACTCTTGAAAGTTACCCAATAAAAAGTTTACCATATAAAGTACAAGTTAGATCATAATGGTCAAGATGGATTGGGCTTTTTTTTGGGCACATAACTCTTATGTCATCCACCTTTATATAACCCTTTTGCAATCATTAATCCAAAGATGTCACAAATACATATTTCGGAGTCTTGAAAATCAAAATTACAAGATACCCATAAAACATGCAATATCAACATTCTTTACTACACCTCACTCAAATTATTATTAACTCTATACACATTACACATATACATGATGATGATGATTCTTTATGCCTCTAGTTTTTAACTACTTCAAAGCATTTTGATCACCCAAAGGTTGTATTTTTTTATATACATATATATAAGACAAGGTCCAGTCAAACCTTCATCCGATAACCTCTTGCAAAGCTTAAAATAACTTTCCAAAACACCCTTTTGATTAATTCTTTTTCTCAATCCTTGCAAAACAGCAGCCCTATCAAGAAACTCAGGGTACACCCCCAAATTAAGCATCTTATTCACCACTTCAGCAGCATCCACATAATGAGAGCCTTTAATATAACCCCTTAATAACCATGTTAAACTTTTCTTTTTGTTTAACAAACTAGTCACCTCCATTCTTGTAAGCAATCTTGAAATTGCATTTATTTCATTTTGAGAAGCACATATAGCCAACACAATGTCATAAAGATTCCCATCCGCTTCTTTTCCAACTAATTTCATTTTCCATAATTGCCCTTCCGCCTCCACCCCACGCCCCGCACATATGTACATGGCTAAAAGCCGTTCGTATACAACCCCGTGAAATGACGCCCCACCCTCTTCGATCACCCAATTGGATAAGCGCACCCCGTCTTCCAAAAGGGTAGTTTGGTAATTTTGTATGAGTTGTGCGTCGTGTGTGTCTAAATCGGAAGATAAACCGGATTTTGTGAAGGCTTTTAACTTGCGTAAAGCTTTTCCAAATTCGTTTAGCTCTTTTACAACAGCTGTCATTGCAATTAAGTAGCTATAAACTTCTGGTTTTAAACCGGATTCTTTAATGTTGATTACTAGCTTAATTGCATCAGTGTAATTTCCATCCTCCTGATATAAACATAATTCAAAATTAAGGATCCAAATGTATCAAAAGATGAAAAATATATAAAGATTGAAACTTACCATCATCTTCCAAGCAAGATATCCTGTAGGACCTCCTTTACGCCCTTGATTATCATCATTTTCATAACCAAACCCTCTCTTTAAAACCTGTTTCACAAACAAAACCCCTTTATCTTTCTCACCCATGTCCCAATACAAAGATATCACCTTCTCAATCATACTAAAATTAGGTTTTAACCCAACGCACTCCATATCCACAAGAAGAGCAATCACATCTTCAGCTTCATGTTTCCCCTCTATTAGTTTCTTAACCCAACCACACATCAGAGAAACCATGAGCTCCATTGTCTCCTCATCGACTTTATTCTCTTTCTTTAGCCATTCAAACACTTCCAAAGCACACCATGAGTCTCTTCCTTCTTGAGAAAAGTAGACCAAAACGAGTTGGAGTTCTCTAGGGGATAATTTGGAATTCATTTCTTCGAGAACGTCAGATGGCTCTCTTGTCATCCTCTCCAATTCCTCAATTGCTTCGAAGAAACCTTCACTCATTTCGTCTTCGTCGTCACTGGTTACAAACGTATCTAACTCCACCGCTTTATAAAACCTATGTTCACGTAATTTCCCAATATGGATAGGGTTTCTGTTTGTAATCGAAACCCTATTACATGAATTAACAGTAAAGCTTCCGTAAACTTGGGAAATTAAAGGATTAGGGTTTCTATTAACAGAAATACAATTCATAAAAGAAGCAAGTCCGGAAATAGAAGCCATTTAAAACTAGAAAGAAGTTAGCTCGGAGAGAAAAAACTTCAAACCCTTTTCGTGTAATTCGATCTTGTAACGAATTGGAGGACAAGCCGAGGGTCAACCATGAAATTGATGACTTCGTCGGTGGCAGAAATGGCGGCAAGCAACGTGACTGTTAAGTGACGGTGAAATCCCTTTAAAGATTGAGGATAAGCAAGAAGGGGAAGAGGGTAAGGCAATCAAAGGATGATTGATTCAAAATTCGGATTTTTAAGGAAAATTTATGTGGTTAAGGGCGTCGCAGGCTCATAGCTCGCAACTTGTAGAAAGAAAAATGGAGTTCCAAGGTAATGAAAAGCATGGTGGATTTTGTCTTTTGTGGTTTAATTGAGGTAAATTCCATGGATGGTATCAGAGATTGTTGTAGGTAAGGTGGTAAAAGATGGCAACTTTCGAAAATGACGACGCCCCGCATATTTCAACATTTTTGTAACAACCTAAGATCAAAATGAGTAACGAATTTTGTGTTATTTAGGGGCTTAATTGATTAGGAGGATATGTATTAACAAGAAAGAATTTTTAATTTCTTTAATTTTAATTACATTTCAAAATTTATAATTGTTTTTTTGGTAAAAAACGGAATTATATTTAAAGGCGACAGCCTCGAAGAGACAAGGCTAGACAAGAAGAACCATACGAAAATTACAAAATATCAAACGGATTACACATCCAAACCACCCAATTACAATTTCCGTAATTTTCCGTGTTTCAACCACCCAAAAACCATAAGAAGAATAATAATCCGTCAAAAGTGTAGAAGACATATAAACATTGTTGAAGAAACGATCATTTCTTGCTCTCTAAACAAACCAAAAGAATCTGTAAATGATAGCAATCAGATTTTTTTTTTTTTGACAACTACCCCAAATCGCAACAAAACTAATAATCTCCCCCACCGTGCGTAAATTCCACCAAGGCAAATTGCACTAATTGAAGATCCTCTTTAAAGTGGTTGCCTCAAAAGGGTAATCCAGAAGAATATGATTTGTGTCATCTATACCAACATCACAAAATTGACAGTAGCAATTAAGGTCCGTAATACACCTATGAGAGAGGGCCACTGCTAAAGGAATTCTATCAAGGCAAGCTCTCTAAACGAAAACGATAACCTTCATCGGGACCACCTTAAGCCAAATCGTAGGATTCTGCAACAAAATTGTCAACTTGGAGTCAAAAAGAGTCCGGAGATCATGAACACAAAAATTCCCATCAGCAAAAAGTCTTGATTTCCACATATCCGTCCCACTACCGGTTGCAATCGAATGTATACAATTTTGAATTTCCATTAGATCCGACACCTTGGGGCCGCTTTTAGGGACTTTTTTCCAATCTCCTTTGAAATCACCACCTGAAACTCTCTCGGCAATAAGACAAGACTTCATATTGTCAGTAACAAAAAGAGAAGGAATCTCGAAGCCAATGTACACTCACCCGTCCAATCTTCCCACCAAAAACAAGGTGTTATTCCCACAATTGACCATGTACTAAAAAATAGACGTATGCCAAATCCTCAACAATGTTCACCACCTGCAAAACAGTAAACCAAACACTAGGAAAAGTGTAACACTCTAATTTTTCAAATAAAATTTTCATTTTTAAAACCATATAAAACACAATTTCACATTTCACAAAACACAAATGTATAAGTTGTTCAAAACACAAGACCACAAAGTGTTTGATAATACCCAAGAATCCTTAAAACATAATCCCTGGCTGGTGTGTACAATCAAACTGGCGCCATCCCGCGATCCTGAGAGGTACCTGAAACACATTTCACACAACATTATAAGCACGAAGCTTAGTGAGTCTCCCCAAACTACCACATACCATATACATAAACATGCTACTAGGAGATACGGGTCCTACCCACACTAAAAAAGATATGGGCCCCACCCACACTCCGCTACTAGGAGATACGGGCCCCGCCCACACTCTGCTGGCTATGAGATACGGGCCCTGCCCACACTTAGCTAACTACGAGATACGGTCCCCGCCCACACTAGGCTAACTATGAGATACGATCCCCACCTACACTCAACTACTAAGCATACATACAAGTATCACACAAACAACAAGTATAATCAAATATATCAATCAATCCTATATCTACACTCAAATGATGTTAGGAGATACTGGTCTCGCCCATACTTGGCTATCTATGAGATACGGGCCCTGACCCACCCTCGGCTACTAATCAAACATATACGAGCCGGCCTTGGTGCCTTCGACCCATTCATAATAGGAGGAAAGCTCACATCACAAAGTTAACTGTGAAATCTCACGGTGAGGAAATCTCTAACGGCTTCTCCAACGACTCTCGACTATCATTATCACAATAACACTTAGTTAAAATCCAAGAATCATTCTTAGGGTAAAATGACCTTTTTACCCCTGGTCAAAATCAACATTTTGGTCAAAGTCAACATTCCGAGTTGACTCAACTCGTCGAATTGACCCATCAACTCGTCGAGTTCCTTCTATCCACAGTATCAGGACTTTCTCATTCTACTCTTCGAGTCATCCTTGAATTCGTCGAGTTTTTCCCTTTACAGAATTAGGGCATTTCAACCCAACTCATCGAGTTCCTCTATGGACTCGACGAGTTCTTTAGTCTGTTAAGCCATCTTAATAGATTAAGCTCTTATCCTTCAGATCCAAACCCCATACTTCGTCTACACACTGAAAATGTCCTCTTAAGGGTAAATTTTCCAACTTTACCCGTTAATAGCCTTCCTTAATGGGTTTAGATCAAACCCTAGTTTCTTTAAGGCCTAGATGTTGATCAAAAAGCCATAATACTACAAACTAAAGCATAAAATCGAGATTTGGACCCTAGACACTATATGAACACGTAAAGTCCTTGAATTTCCTTCCATGCATGTCCTTTTAGGGCTTAAAAGGCCAAAATGATACCTTAAAGCTTGCATGGGGCGTCAATAGCCATAAAGTTTGCACCTTTATGCCATGTAGGCCCTCCATGGTTCTAGATCTGATGATATACTCAATAAAGTAAAGATGAAGAGATCTAAGCATACTAACGACAATATAGGAGATTTATACCTCTAATGAACCATAAATGAAACTAGACTTCTGGATCTAGTCTTCTCCAACACTTCGATGCTCCTTATTCAAGTTTCTTCCTCTTCAAAACCAAAAGAATGCACCAAAAATGGATCAAAGCTCTCAAAAGTGTATTAGGGTTTAGGAAGATAGAGACTGCATGCAAATGAGGCCAGCCTTTGGAGGTAAAGGTGTTTAAATAGGGTGCTAAACCCTGAAAATTAGGGTTTCATTCTGGCAACCCTACTCGTCAAGTTGAGTCCTTCAACTTGTCGAGTAGACTTTAAGTTCCATGCCCAAATTCCATTCCTACTCAACGAATTTGGGGCCTCCAACTTGTCGAGTTCCTATACAAAAAAATGAATAAATTGATTTAAAATACATACCAGGAACTAGGCATTACAATTCTCCCCCACTTGTCTTAGACTTTGTCCTCAAAGTCAGCTGTGTTAGGAAACAACTCTGGGTAATGCTCCCTTATCTCCTCCTCAAGCTCCCAAGTCCACTCCAAGCCCTTGTGGTGCTACCACTGCACCTTCACCAACTCAACTCTCTTGTTCCCCAACTCTTTCGTCTTCCTGTCGAGAATGAATACCGGTCTCTCGATCTAGTCCGGACTATCATCTACTTGTATATCCTCTAAGGGCACTACTGCAGAGTCATCCAGTAAGCACTTTCGCAGCTGAGAGACATGAAAAGTACTGTAGATTTGGATGAGCTCTACTGGAAGATCCAATCGATACGCTACCCTGCCCGCCCGGGCTATAACCCTGAAAGGACTGATGTACCTGGGGCCCAACTTACCCCGCTTCCTAAATCAGATGACACCTTTCCAAGGTGACACCTTCAGGAGGACCATGTCGCCCACCTGAAACTCTAAGTCTGAACGACACTTGTCGGCATAGCTTTTTTTCCGACTCTAAGCAATCTAGAGCTTGCTCCGGACCTATTGGATCCTCTCAGTGGTCTTGAGTACTCCCGATGAACCTCTGTCCGACCTTGCCCCAAAAAATTGGGGTCCTACACTTCCTTCCGTAGAGCATCTCGAAGCGAGGTCGGTCTATGTTGGCGTGGTAACTGTTGTTATACGAAAATTCAGCTAATGGAAGATACGTATCCTAACTGCCACCGAAATTCAATACAGATGCGTGCAGCATGTCCTCGAGAGTCTGAATCGTCCTCTCGCTCTACCCATCCTTCTGAGGGTGGAAAGTGATGCTGAAGTGGAGATGAGTACCCATCTCATCGTGAAACCGCTTCTAAAATTTAGAAGTGAAACGAACATCCTAGTTTGACACAACCAAAACATGCACTCCATGTCGTGCCACTACCTCACGTACGTAGATCTCGACCAGCTTCTCAGCCGATATAATCTCCTAGATCAGGATGAATCAAGCACTCTTGGTTAACCGATCAACAATGACCCATATCGAATCTACTCCACGTGCGGTCCTAGGAAGCTTCGTGATGAAGTCCATAGTGATATCTTCCCATTTCAATACATGAATGTCTAACAATTGCATCTTGTCATGAGGGCTATTGGTGTTCAGCCTTGAGTTTCCTGCAAGTCAAATACCACTCTACGTTCCATGCTACATCCTGTAATGTGCACGAAAGTACCCACTAATTTTAATATTTATAACCTAACAAACTTAGACTAACTATGCACTTATAGGCAGTGTACCTAGTCAGATTACAATATAGCTTAGGTAAGTCGGGTGTCCATCACAGGGAACGATGTCACTATTTACTATTAAATTAATCTAATTATTAACAAGCTGAAAGGGTTTTTTATCTAATTTTGCAAGTTTAGATGAACTTAATTTTTTAACGATAACTTAATCAATAAATAAAATACTTCTATTAGTTTGAATCCACTTTCACTCAATGGTTATACATTGGCTATAACTATTACTGTTGGTGACCAATTAAGATAGTATTAGTAGTTTAGTTCTAACTCTACTAATTATTAATCAATTCATGTAATTCTATTTATGTTCATACAATAGTTAACACATAATCAATTATTAAGTAAGATTGGAGCCATCAAAGATTGATTAATCAAAACACAATTATAGTCATAATATAAGTTCTCTAACACAACTTAATTTAATTATTCAATTACTATTCTAAGATTGATTTGATCTTAGCTCCAATAACTAGTGTTCACTATATTATTAGGTATTCAAGTTCATGCAACATTGTGTTCACTAACTACTCAGAACAAGGATTCAAAGCAATTAAATAACTAATTCAAGCATGCTAGGTAAAATCAATCAACACAAGCATATCACCAACAATTAAAATCAAATCTAATACATTAAAACCATGAGTTCCAGCTTCATCTAGCTAATAGAAGCAACTAGATTTAGCTGGATATATTAACAGTTAAACAAACAAATGTTATAATCCAAAACATATTAAAGTGTACCAAACTATGAATCAATTTATGTACTTCTACTTCCTTGGTGTTGAAACCAACTTCCAGGTACTTTTCTTCTCTGATTTTTCGTCTTTAGGAACCCTTCTCAGCCACCAAAAGTTTTTCTAATCGTAATGGTTAAGGATATATATAGTTGCTGATTTTCATCATTCACGTCGTGAATAATAAACTATTCATGTCATGAGTTCTAGATAATCGTGCCCATCAAGGATTCCTTCACCCGTGTACATATCTTCTAGAACATAGACTCACGTCGTGAATCTTGAGATATTCACGTCGTGAATTCGCTTTTCCCTGATTTTCTTGTCCTTTAATCTTTTAACTGCCGAAGTTTCTTCATTTGATGTTTTTAGCCCCTTTTCTTCAAAATGTCTTCTTTTTGGCTGCAAATAACATTTAAACTCATAAGTACTATTATTCTAAATAAATTACCAGTTTATATATGAAAATGTACTTAAATATTGCCTAAAAATAGGTATAAATATGGCAATATCAAAATACCCCACACTTGGACTTTGCTTGCCCTCAAGCAAATTTAAACTTAACCCTTTATTACTAACATCACATAGAGCAATCCGATTCCAGCTCAACCATTATGCCAAGACCTCAATGCATGCATTTATGTCTAAAATTTTCCTAAAGTACCCCCTATACTTTAAATACTCACAATCTTCATAAACACTCGCCCACTTCTTTCGAACAATGCTCAATTTTATGCATCCCTCCGAATCCATCCTCAGAAAACCTCCTAACCTCAAGGTATTTTTGGTTGTGGCAACCCAAGCATACATAATCTATACAATTGCAATTTATGATACCACTATGGAGCACTTTTGGATTTCTTCACTTTCTTGACAATTTGATCTTTGATTTCTTTGA